TGAAGTCCCTCCAGGGATGGGGACTCCCCCCTGCCCTGGGCAGCTGTGCCAGGGCTGGACAGCCCTTTCCAGGAAGGAATTTCGCCAGTATTCAACCTGACCCTCCCCTGGCCCAGCCTGAGGCCGTTTCCCCTTGGCCTGTCCCTTGTTCCCTGGGAGCAGAGCCCGACCCCCCCCGGCTCCCCCCTCCTGGCAGGGACTTGCAGAGCCAGAAGGTCCCCCCTGAGTTCCTGGGACCTGGAAAAGCCCCCGTGTTTTAATTTATCCCACTCCAGGGTATCTCCCACAGGGAGATTTTCACTCATTAAGTGCAGCCAGCACCTTGGGATCCAAGTGCAGGTGACAAACCCTTTTATCCCGGTAGGGTCATCTCACACCAGCGGTTCTGGTCCCTTCTGTAGGGCCACAAACCGGGTTTGGTGCCTTGTTAACACCCAGCTTTCCCTTCCCAGGGCCGCCTGCTGAACCTGAGCTGCTCCACCGTCCCCACCTTCGTCCTGTCCATCACGGCCACCACGCAGGTGAGTGGGGTGGGCTGTGCCCAGAGCCCCCTCCTGCTCCCTGGGGCAGCAGCTCCTCACCCGGGTGTCTCCTCCCTGCAGGCCTTGGCTCTGATAGAGCTCTACAATGCTCCCGAGGGCCGCTACAAGCAGGACGTGTATTTGCTGCCTAAAAAAATGGGTAACCCCCTGCTCCCTGCCTTCTCCTCGTCGGTTTGGGGGTGGGATAGATGGGAATCGTCATTTGGCTGGGGCATTGTGGCTCCAGCATTTGCTTGTTCCCCTCCCTGCTGAGCTCGGGGGCTTCCGGAAGGTTCTTCCCGCTGGTTTGGGGCTTGTTGCTGTTTCCTGGCCCCACCTGGGGAAAAGAGGTGGACACATCCCGATGCAGGGGGTTATCCCGGTGCAGGGGGTTATCCCGGTGCAGGGGGTTATCCCGGTGCAGGGGGTTGTCCCAGTGCAGGGGGTTGTCCCACGGGGCTCCTGTGGTCACCACCCAGCAGCCCCAGCAGCAGAACCCCATCCAGAGGACGCGGCCGCGCTGTGGCTGCAGAAATGGGCTCCGTGGTGGGAGTCGTGTTTTCTGAGGCAGGGGTGAGGTGTCACCTGCCAGAGGTGTCTGGGGGGTTCTGCACCGGCCCCAGGGGACTCGTGGCCGTCCCCTTGGCCACACTGACGGGGTGTGGGGTGTTCCAGACGAGTACGTGGCCAGCCTTCACCTGCCGACGTTCGACGCCCACCTGACGGAGCTGACGGACGAGCAGGCCAAGTACCTGGGGCTGAACAAGAACGGACCCTTCAAACCAAACTACTACAGGTGCTGCCCCCCAGCCCCTGCCCCCCTGCCCCGAGGCGTGGCCTTTAATCCCACCAGTCCCCTGAGATCTCATGGGCTCGCTGCTCATTCCCGTCGTCCCGCGGGCCCTTGGCAGGGTGGGAGCCCTTTGTGGTGGCAGCAGCTGTCACCAGACGTGGCAGATGCCAGAGCGATGCCACCGGCCCAGCGACAGCTTTATTTTTAAAGCTGGGCTGAGGATGAGTTGGCACAGAGCAGCTTTGGCCCCGGGGCTGCTGCTCCGATGGGCTCAGCTCCCAAAAATAATAACAATAATTTTCCATAGGAGCCCCTGGGTCGCTTCCCGTCCCAGGTTTCTGTTGGTGGCCAACCCTGCCGTGAATTCCCACCGTGAAAATGGAGTGGCTTTGCACAAACACGGATCAGCTCGCCTGGGGAGGGGGGAAGCCCAGATCCTTTTCCTGCAGGAAAAGGCATTTTCTTGGTGGGCAGGTCTTTGGAGAGAAGATCTCCAGAACCAGAGCACTCCCAGTTTGGGGTTTAGTGGGTCCTGCCAAATCCTGAGCTTTATTCCCTGCTCCCGTTAGGTGCAAAATTCTGGTGCTTCCGCACCGCCGTGGAAGGAATTCCCTCTGGTTTAATTCTCTTCCCTCTGGTTTAATTCTCTTCCCTCTGGTTTAATTCTCTTCCCTCTGGTTTAATTCTCTTCCCTCTGGTTTAATTTTCTTCCTTCTGGTTTAATTCTCTGCCTGGTTTTGGTGTGTGTTGTAGCCCAACCTTGTGGGGAGTGTGGTTTGTCCCACACACAGAGACCCAAGATCAGGGGAGGGTCTTGGCATTGAGGGAGAGCCACAACCCCTCGAACACCCCTCAGACATCCCTCAAACATCCCTCAAACATTCCTCAAACACTCCTCCATGGGGTGGAAATGCCCTCGGAGGCAATGAGAACCAAATCCCTTCTCCACCAGTTCTTCCCTTGGCCTCTCCCCCTCCCAAAATCCACCGTGTCGATGCTGGGGGAGCTTCCCTTCCCTTCCCATCCACTCACCAACCCCCGTTTTCTCTCCTTCTCCCCAGATATTGAGTTCCTGCCGCTGGATCCCCGGGAATGGCGGGGAACAAGCCCCCAAGTCTCTTCTCAACTACTGTACAGGATGACCCCGCGCAAGCTTCCCACGCTCGAGCCGGGCTTGCTCCGTAGTCACCGTGTGTTTTAGGTTATTTATTTATTAAATTAGGATACTGTTCATGCGGCCTCTGCCACTGGTGTTCGTGCTGCCGCGGGACTGGGACACGCTGGATTTCTTTTCCGTTCCTTTCGTTTTCCTCTTTGGATTCGTTCTTTCTCGGGGCTGGGGAGGATGAGGAAGGAGCTGGTGGGATCGAGCCGTGGGACGGTCCGTTGTCGCCGATGGAGCCACGGGGTCCGACTCGGAAGTCGACGTTGGTCCCCTCCATGTCCCAGCGCTGCTTCCAGCGGCGCGGGATCCCGGGATGGGTTTGGATTTCTCCTGCTGTTTGATGACGAAGCCAAAAACCTCGTTCTCTCCAGGCTCCGGCGAGTGGCCGGATGCCGCCGCCCGTCCGGAGCCGCCCCGGTGGATCCCTCTGGAGAAGCCTCTCGTCCGTGCTGTGGAACTTTCCGAGGGCTGGTGCCACCAACCCTCTGGAGAACGTCGCCTTAGCGCTGCTGGAAGCTGTGGGGAAGGGTCCGGGCAGGGAGGAGCCGGGCGGGCAGAGCCCAGCGCCGCTCCCGCCGCTCCCGCAGCTCCGCAGCGTTTTCCTGCTGCTCTCGTTCCCAGTGCCAACCTCTCTGGATCAACCAAAGCCGTGTTCCCGGGGGGGCTAGGGCAGCTCCCGCTGTGCTGCTGGAAGAGCTCCCCCGGCAGATGCTGCTCATGCACCGGGAGCTCTTCCCGAGCCGGGCAGAGCTCCCCGGACATCCCGGCTGGGGGGACCCGTGTCCACGCCAGGGCTTTCTCCAGCTGCGTTTCAGTCCTCGTTGGAAGTGTTTGGAGTTTTCTTTTCTGGGTTGATTATTTCATTACTTTATTTATGGATCTGGGACCCCCCCCCTGGGGTGGATGAGACGTCTGGTGGAGGATCCTCCACACGAATTCAGTGTCACTGAAACCCTTCAGTCGCCTCAGATCTTGAAGCATCAGAGCTGAGGGAGAATAAATTGGCCATAGTTCCTTGCTTTATCCCAGGATGTCCCTCTGGAGCGCTGACACGCTTCCCAAGGTGACTTCCCAAGTCGCTTTCATTATCCACGTGGAGAACATGATCCGTCTAAAATAAAACTGCCCGACCCCGTGAGCACAAACCCTTTTATCCCCTGGCTGCTGCTTTGGTTCCCGAGTCTCTCATCAGCCACAGAGTCGTGTTTTGTCCTCCTGGGCTTCTTTGCCATCATGAAAAACCCTTTTGTGGCAGCTCGTTCATGCACAAGGAAGGAAAAACTGTGGAATTACGATCTCGGCATCCAAGTTCTTCTCGTGGTTCTCGGGTCGTGAGCTTTGGAGCAAACGTTCCCTGTGTCAGCATATTCCAAGTTTGTCTCTGAATTCTCTCAAAACCTGGAAGGAAAACCTTTGGAGAACTTGGGAGACCTTGAGGAGACCTTGGGAAGACCTTTGGGAGACCTTGGGAAGACCTTCCGGAGACCTTGGGAAGATGTTCAGGCTTTGAGGGCTTTGAGAAGGCTCTGAGGAGACCTTAAGGCCTTGAGGAGCTTCATCACAGACTGACCTGGAACCACAGACTTGAAGTCACCTCTGCCCAAGAGTTTTATCCAGATCCTGAGCTTTTTTTGGGAAGAGTCCCCTGAGCCGTTGGAAACGTCCCATCCAGGTCTCTCCCTGCGCCGGATCCACCCTGGTCTGTGTCAGCCCCAAGTTCCTGGAGAGGCCCCACCTGGAATCTGCTCCTGGCCGAGGGGACAGGCGGTTGTGGGGCCACGTGGGAGCAGCTCCTGGAAGAGCGGGTGTCCCACCCACCCTGGGAAAACCCCTCTCCACCCCCAGGACCCTCCGGAGCAGCTCCCGCCGCCGCTTCCCACCCCGTGTCCGTCACTCGTGCCACAGCCAGTGGTGCTGCTGATCCACGGATCCCTCCGTGCCCGTCTCATCTTCCAGGTAGACAAGAAGGGGGGAAAAAAAAATAAAATATCAGTAATAAAATCCCACCTGGCCTTTCCCACCTCGATTCTCCAAACTCTTCTCCGTGTTCTGCTGCTCCTGTAAAGCTTCTTGGCTCGCTTGGCTTTTTCCTAATCAACCTGGAATCATATCCTGTGATCATCTCTAAATTAAATGTTAATGGGGTTTGGTTTCTTTTATCTTTTTGTTTGTTTGTTTTTTAAAATGTAACGCGTTTGTTTGTTTTTTTTTCCAAGCTTTTGGGGGAAAAAAAAGGAGATTTTTAGGTAACACCAGCAAAATAAGGAATAAAATAAAGGAAATTTAATTCTGTCCTGAACTTTTAGGAATAACAAAGCAAAACCCGTCATCAGCAGGGAGGGAACGGAACCGTCGCACCCGTAACATTTCAAAAGGATGTTTTAAATATTAATGTCTGAGTGATTGTATTAGATCAGCAATAAAGACTCTGTAATCTCGAAACACAAATAAAACATGGGAAAACTCGGCTGCTCCCCGGGCGTCCTTCCTTCGGGAGCACACGGTGGGGGGGAGGGGGTTTGGGGGCTGAGAGGTGGGATTTGGGATTGTTCCCAAAGCCCTGAGCTCCCAGCGCTGCTGGATAATCCCGGCTGGGGAAGCTCCACCCGTCCTTGGGGCAGCCGGAGCTGTTTTGGCTCCGGTGCCGTTGTGTCCTTGGGGAAGTGGTGCCGGGAGAATCCCGTTATCTCCCCTGCCCCGTCCCCTCCCCGCTGCACGGGGACATTCCCACCCCCACACGGGGGGTTCCCCGTTTTCCAGTGGCTGTGGAAGGACACAGGACAAGAGCAGCACCAAGAAGGGGTGTCCAGCACCTCCCCAGTGACCCCAAAACCACCAAGCCCCCGTGCTGGGCGTGGAAGAGGAAAAGGGGGGTGGGAGTCCTTCTGTCCCACCCCCGTTCCAGCCACCACAGGCTGCTCCCAGCATCCCCGGGGACACCCTATAACCTCCCTTCCCCAGCATTCCGTGCTCCCAGCACCCCAGGAACACCCCATAACCACCCCTCCTGGAGCATTCCATGCTCCCCGCGCTCCAGAGACATCCTTTAACACCCCCTCCCCAATATTCCGTGCTCCCAGCACCTCAAGGACACCCCATAACCCCTTCTCAACATTTCATGCCCCCAGCACCCCAAGGACACCCCATACCTCCCTCCCCAGCATCCCACGCTTCCCGCATCCCAGGGACTCCCCACAGCCCCCCTCGTCCCAGCATTCCATGCTCTTAGTACCCCTAGGACACCCCAAGGACTCCATAACCCCCTTCCCCGGCATTCCATGCCCAGGGACACCCCATCACCGCATTCCAGGTTCCCAACGACCCCGGGGACACCCCATAACGCCCCGTCCCCAACATTCCATACTCCGTGACCCCCCGGGACAACCCATCACACCCAGGACACCCCATAACGCCCCGACTCCAACATTCCACGCCCCCACGGCCCCCGGGACACCCCATCACCCCCAGGACACCCCATAACGNCTGGTTTTGGTGTGTGTTGTAGCCCAACCTTGTGGGGAGTGTGGTTTGTCCCACACACAGAGACCCAAGATCAGGGGAGGGTCTTGGCATTGAGGGAGAGCCACAACCCCTCGAACACCCCTCAGACATCCCTCAAACATCCCTCAAACATTCCTCAAACACTCCTCCATGGGGTGGAAATGCCCTCGGAGGCAATGAGAACCAAATCCCTTCTCCACCAGTTCTTCCCTTGGCCTCTCCCCCTCCCAAAATCCACCGTGTCGATGCTGGGGGAGCTTCCCTTCCCTTCCCATCCACTCACCAACCCCCGTTTTCTCTCCTTCTCCCCAGATATTGAGTTCCTGCCGCTGGATCCCCGGGAATGGCGGGGAACAAGCCCCCAAGTCTCTTCTCAACTACTGTACAGGATGACCCCGCGCAAGCTTCCCACGCTCGAGCCGGGCTTGCTCCGTAGTCACCGTGTGTTTTAGGTTATTTATTTATTAAATTAGGATACTGTTCATGCGGCCTCTGCCACTGGTGTTCGTGCTGCCGCGGGACTGGGACACGCTGGATTTCTTTTCCGTTCCTTTCGTTTTCCTCTTTGGATTCGTTCTTTCTCGGGGCTGGGGAGGATGAGGAAGGAGCTGGTGGGATCGAGCCGTGGGACGGTCCGTTGTCGCCGATGGAGCCACGGGGTCCGACTCGGAAGTCGACGTTGGTCCCCTCCATGTCCCAGCGCTGCTTCCAGCGGCGCGGGATCCCGGGATGGGTTTGGATTTCTCCTGCTGTTTGATGACGAAGCCAAAAACCTCGTTCTCTCCAGGCTCCGGCGAGTGGCCGGATGCCGCCGCCCGTCCGGAGCCGCCCCGGTGGATCCCTCTGGAGAAGCCTCTCGTCCGTGCTGTGGAACTTTCCGAGGGCTGGTGCCACCAACCCTCTGGAGAACGTCGCCTTAGCGCTGCTGGAAGCTGTGGGGAAGGGTCCGGGCAGGGAGGAGCCGGGCGGGCAGAGCCCAGCGCCGCTCCCGCCGCTCCCGCAGCTCCGCAGCGTTTTCCTGCTGCTCTCGTTCCCAGTGCCAACCTCTCTGGATCAACCAAAGCCGTGTTCCCGGGGGGGCTAGGGCAGCTCCCGCTGTGCTGCTGGAAGAGCTCCCCCGGCAGATGCTGCTCATGCACCGGGAGCTCTTCCCGAGCCGGGCAGAGCTCCCCGGACATCCCGGCTGGGGGGACCCGTGTCCACGCCAGGGCTTTCTCCAGCTGCGTTTCAGTCCTCGTTGGAAGTGTTTGGAGTTTTCTTTTCTGGGTTGATTATTTCATTACTTTATTTATGGATCTGGGACCCCCCCCCTGGGGTGGATGAGACGTCTGGTGGAGGATCCTCCACACGAATTCAGTGTCACTGAAACCCTTCAGTCGCCTCAGATCTTGAAGCATCAGAGCTGAGGGAGAATAAATTGGCCATAGTTCCTTGCTTTATCCCAGGATGTCCCTCTGGAGCGCTGACACGCTTCCCAAGGTGACTTCCCAAGTCGCTTTCATTATCCACGTGGAGAACATGATCCGTCTAAAATAAAACTGCCCGACCCCGTGAGCACAAACCCTTTTATCCCCTGGCTGCTGCTTTGGTTCCCGAGTCTCTCATCAGCCACAGAGTCGTGTTTTGTCCTCCTGGGCTTCTTTGCCATCATGAAAAACCCTTTTGTGGCAGCTCGTTCATGCACAAGGAAGGAAAAACTGTGGAATTACGATCTCGGCATCCAAGTTCTTCTCGTGGTTCTCGGGTCGTGAGCTTTGGAGCAAACGTTCCCTGTGTCAGCATATTCCAAGTTTGTCTCTGAATTCTCTCAAAACCTGGAAGGAAAACCTTTGGAGAACTTGGGAGACCTTGAGGAGACCTTGGGAAGACCTTTGGGAGACCTTGGGAAGACCTTCCGGAGACCTTGGGAAGATGTTCAGGCTTTGAGGGCTTTGAGAAGGCTCTGAGGAGACCTTAAGGCCTTGAGGAGCTTCATCACAGACTGACCTGGAACCACAGACTTGAAGTCACCTCTGCCCAAGAGTTTTATCCAGATCCTGAGCTTTTTTTGGGAAGAGTCCCCTGAGCCGTTGGAAACGTCCCATCCAGGTCTCTCCCTGCGCCGGATCCACCCTGGTCTGTGTCAGCCCCAAGTTCCTGGAGAGGCCCCACCTGGAATCTGCTCCTGGCCGAGGGGACAGGCGGTTGTGGGGCCACGTGGGAGCAGCTCCTGGAAGAGCGGGTGTCCCACCCACCCTGGGAAAACCCCTCTCCACCCCCAGGACCCTCCGGAGCAGCTCCCGCCGCCGCTTCCCACCCCGTGTCCGTCACTCGTGCCACAGCCAGTGGTGCTGCTGATCCACGGATCCCTCCGTGCCCGTCTCATCTTCCAGGTAGACAAGAAGGGGGGAAAAAAAAATAAAATATCAGTAATAAAATCCCACCTGGCCTTTCCCACCTCGATTCTCCAAACTCTTCTCCGTGTTCTGCTGCTCCTGTAAAGCTTCTTGGCTCGCTTGGCTTTTTCCTAATCAACCTGGAATCATATCCTGTGATCATCTCTAAATTAAATGTTAATGGGGTTTGGTTTCTTTTATCTTTTTGTTTGTTTGTTTTTTAAAATGTAACGCGTTTGTTTGTTTTTTTTTCCAAGCTTTTGGGGGAAAAAAAAGGAGATTTTTAGGTAACACCAGCAAAATAAGGAATAAAATAAAGGAAATTTAATTCTGTCCTGAACTTTTAGGAATAACAAAGCAAAACCCGTCATCAGCAGGGAGGGAACGGAACCGTCGCACCCGTAACATTTCAAAAGGATGTTTTAAATATTAATGTCTGAGTGATTGTATTAGATCAGCAATAAAGACTCTGTAATCTCGAAACACAAATAAAACATGGGAAAACTCGGCTGCTCCCCGGGCGTCCTTCCTTCGGGAGCACACGGTGGGGGGGAGGGGGTTTGGGGGCTGAGAGGTGGGATTTGGGATTGTTCCCAAAGCCCTGAGCTCCCAGCGCTGCTGGATAATCCCGGCTGGGGAAGCTCCACCCGTCCTTGGGGCAGCCGGAGCTGTTTTGGCTCCGGTGCCGTTGTGTCCTTGGGGAAGTGGTGCCGGGAGAATCCCGTTATCTCCCCTGCCCCGTCCCCTCCCCGCTGCACGGGGACATTCCCACCCCCACACGGGGGGTTCCCCGTTTTCCAGTGGCTGTGGAAGGACACAGGACAAGAGCAGCACCAAGAAGGGGTGTCCAGCACCTCCCCAGTGACCCCAAAACCACCAAGCCCCCGTGCTGGGCGTGGAAGAGGAAAAGGGGGGTGGGAGTCCTTCTGTCCCACCCCCGTTCCAGCCACCACAGGCTGCTCCCAGCATCCCCGGGGACACCCTATAACCTCCCTTCCCCAGCATTCCGTGCTCCCAGCACCCCAGGAACACCCCATAACCACCCCTCCTGGAGCATTCCATGCTCCCCGCGCTCCAGAGACATCCTTTAACACCCCCTCCCCAATATTCCGTGCTCCCAGCACCTCAAGGACACCCCATAACCCCTTCTCAACATTTCATGCCCCCAGCACCCCAAGGACACCCCATACCTCCCTCCCCAGCATCCCACGCTTCCCGCATCCCAGGGACTCCCCACAGCCCCCCTCGTCCCAGCATTCCATGCTCTTAGTACCCCTAGGACACCCCAAGGACTCCATAACCCCCTTCCCCGGCATTCCATGCCCAGAGACACCCCATCACCGCATTCCAGGTTCCCAACGACCCCGGGGACACCCCATAACGCCCCGTCCCCAACATGCCATACTCCGTGACCCCCCGGGACAACCCATCACCCCCAGGACACCCCATAACGCCCCGACTCCAACATTCCACGCCCCCACGGCCCCCGGGACACCCCATCACCCCCGCGACACCCCATAATGCCCTTCCCCGGCATTCCATACCCCATGACCCCCGGGACACCCCATAACGCCCCGTCTCCAACATTCCACGCCCCCATGACCCCCGGGACACCCCATGACCCCCGGGACACCCCATATCCCCCCAAACCCCGTTCCCCCCCCACGCGTCCCCCCCCCCATTCCCAGCCCCCCGTTCCCCCACTGGCCAATGGCGGGGAGGGGGCGTGTCCTTTTCGCCCCGCCCCCGTCCTCCAGACCAATGGGAGCTGCGGGGGCGTGTCGGGGGCGTGTCCCGGGCCCGGCCCCACGTGCTCGGCGGGGCAGTGACAGCGATGGAGGCGGCGGGAGGCGGCGGGACCCCCGCACCGGGAACGGGAACGGGACCGGGACCGGGACCCGGCCGGGCCCGCCCGGCACCGCCCCAGCCCCAGCCCCCCGCGCAGACACAGCCCAAGGGCCGCGACCTCTTCAGGACCCAGCGCAAGGAGTCCGAGGTACGGGCGGGGGGCACCGCTGAGGGTACCCTCGCACGGGCTGGGGGGTCCCTGCCCCGCCGTGGGGGCTCCTGCGGGAGGGGCTTTATCCAGGGCCGGCGGAGCTCTCGGACTCGGGGAGGGGGGGTCCTCACCCCGACCTCGGGGTTGGAGGGGTTCTGAGCGGGCGGGAGGTGCCCAGCCCGGACTGGGGGGTCCCCAGGGGGGCTGCCCCCGCTACTGGAACATCCTCACCCCGCTGGCAGCTCCAGCAGAAGGGTTTGGGGTTTCCAGCTGAGCCCCAGCACTGGCATCTCCCTGCCCCACTCTCAGATCCAGCAGAAGGGTTTGGGGATCCCAGCTAAGCCCCAGCGCCGGCTCTTCCTTGCCCCATTCCCAGAGCTGGCACCAGGGTTTGGGGATCCCAGCTAAGCCCCGGCACTGGCACCTCCCTGCCCCACTCCCAGAGCGGCGCCAGAGTTTTGGGGTCCCAGTTGGACGCTGGGCTCCCCCGCACCCTCCAGGCACCCACTTACCACCCTCTCACCACGGTCCGGAGGACACAGTTCCCCCCCACAACCCTTCACCCCTCCTGCCCGAAAAACCCCGGGGCGGGGGGGAACCACCGAACCCCCCTGGGCTGCTCTGGGCGCCGGGCTGGGGAAGCAGGACCGGGATCAATCACCAGGATCCAGCCCGGGACATTGTCCCCGCTCCCCGTAAAGCCCCCGCGGGGTCCCCATAGCACAGCACGGGAAGACTTGGCTCCCCCACCCAGGAGCTGCGTCTCCCTGACCCAAAAAAGGGTCCCTTTTCCTGGGGGACGGTGTCCAAGCCGTGGCCCCGCAATTCGTGAATTTGGGGTTTGCTCCTCCCCCCCTCCCCCCGGCCCTGCCTCTCCAAGCGGATTAGGGCTGCACGCGCTCGGCCGAATTCCTCGGCGGCTTTAACTCCCCGACCCTCGCTCGGGGCTGCCGAAATTGGGTGAGAATCCGGCGTTTCTGGTGCGGGTGGGCTCAGCCCGGCTCATCGATATTAAGGGCGGCGACGCACAGCAGCTCCAGCCCGGCCTCCGAGGGGGGACGCCGGGATTCGGGAGGAGGAATCACGTTAATTGGGTTGATTACCCGTCCGTGTGGTCCCTTCCCGGGGGTCGGCGCCGGGTCCGTGTGGCCGCGGCCGCCCCTTCCCCGCCCCGCCGGGATCCTCGGGCCGAGTTTCACGCTCCAGTTCCTTCCTCCGCGGGGGAGGAGGGGGATAAACCCGCACCGAGGGCTTCCAAGAGGCAGAGCCCGGCCCCGAGAGCTGCCGGGTCTGGGGCGCTGAGGGTGGAGCCGCGTCCTCCCGGGGGTTCCTGCTCGGAACCAGCCCCAGGCTGTGTTTTGGGGGGGCTCTGAAAAAACGCATCCAAATATCCGCCGGCGCTCCGGGTCCCGCCGCTGCTTCCCCCCGGGGCTTCGGGAACTGCCATTTTTCCCCTCGCCCGCCACATTTCCGCGGGGTTTTGAGTCTCCCGGCACGGCCGGGGTGCCCGAGCCCCGCCGACCCACCCGCCCGGAGGAGCTTTGGAGCAGAGCCGGGGGCGCCTCCCGGAATTCCCGCAGGGATGTGCCAGCCCGCCCCGCTCACCCCGTCCCGCTCCCCGCAGGGCTCCGTGGACTGTCCCAACCTGGAGTTCGAGTACGGGGATGCCGACGGGCACGGCGCCGAGCTGGCAGGTGAAGCGCGTTTTTTGGGGGGGCGGCGCTGCTGTTTTTAACAGGCGGGGAGGGAGGACGCCAATCCCGCCGGGATGGGGGATGGATGCGGAGCGGTGTCGTCGAGGGTTATTAATAGAGAGCCGCTCGCTCCCCGGGGACGAGCAGGGGGACTGCGGGGACACGGGGCTTTCCCCGGATCGCCCCGGGAGTGGCGGGAGGAGGGAGCGCTGTCCTGTGGCACAGCCCGGGCCGGCCTGACCCATAGCCCGGGGTCACCCTTTGTCACGGGCGCTGTGTCCTTGTCCCGTGTCTTCCTGCCGCTCCTGCCCCTTAACCTCGCGGCCCCAAATGTGTCCCGGCAAAGGGGGGTTATTTTTAGCTCCGGCTGCCTCAGCTGCACGAGCTGCCCTGGCAAAAGCACATTTCCTGCGCGAGGGATCCTCCCTCCTCCCCTGCGGGATCATCTCAGTCCCCCGCGGTGCCGCTCAGCGCTGTAGGATTATAGGGATTCTCTAGGAATAGGTAGGGATTCTGTAGGAACAGGTAGAAATTCTATAGGAACAAGTAGGAATTCTCTAGGAACAGGTAGATATTCTATGGGGAAAAGTACAAATTCTCTAGGAACACGTAGGAATTCCCTAGGAACAGGTAGAAATTCTCTAGGAACAAGTAGGGATTCTCTAGGAACAAGTAGGGATTCTCTAGGAACAGGCAGGGATTCTCTAGGAACAGGTAAGAATTCTTAGGAACAGGTAAGAATTCTTAGGAACAGGTAGAAATTCTATAGGAAAAAGTATAAATTCTCTAGGAACAAGTAGGGATTCTCTAGGAACAGGTAGATATTCTATGGGGAAAAGTACAAATTCTCTAGGAACACGTAGGAATTCTCTAGGAACAGGTAGGAATTCTATAAGAAAAAGTACAAATTATATAGAATCAAGTAGGAATTCTCTAGGAACAGGTAGGGATTCTCTAGGGACAGGTAGGGATTATGAAGAACAGTTGTGTCCCTCCAAGTCCAGCCCCTGTTTTCAGATCCCAAAATGCCGGAGCTGCTGGCTGTGGAATCAGTGCAGGTCTTGCCTGGGTGTTCCTGCATTCCCCCCCCTCCCAAACTGCCTTAACTGACTTAAAATTACTTCCCCCCCCCCCAAAAGAAAACCCCAATGGCATTGGAAATGCAGCTGGAGCAGGGGTGTGGGAGCAGCCCAGCCCGGACACGGGGATGGAGATGATGACTTTGGCAGCACTGGGTGTCCCAAGGTGCCCCCTGGAGCTGCAGGAGAGCTCAGGGGTCAGTTCAGGCCTCTGTCCCGTGTCTCCCTGGAAGCTTCACGAGGAATTTGGCAGCGAGGAGGAGGAGGAGGATGAAGCCCCTCCACGTCCCTGCTGATCCCTTTCCCCACCAGAGCTCTACAGCTACACCGAGGAGCCCGAGCTGAGCCACAACAGGAGATGCTTCGAGGAGGATTTCCACGCTCAAGGTACCAGCCCTGGGCCCGGGGCAGCCCCCCGGGGTGGGGGCAGGACCCCCGGGGAAGCCCCTGGCTGGTGGTCGTGTCCTTCCCCCAGTGCCGGGCAGGAGGTGGCTGGAGCTGGACGGGGCCCAGCAGAAGGCCTTTGTCATGCGCCTGCTGGACGGGCTGGAGGTGGTCAACAGGGACAGGAGGCTCCGGGTGGCCCGGGCCATCCTCTACCTGGCACAGGGTAAGCACCACATCCCTGTCTCCGCTGCCAGGGGCCCTGGGAGAACCTCGGGAGAACCCTTCTGCCGGGGCTGTGCCGGGCTGGCAGCTCCTTCCCGGGGGCTCCGGGGGTTCCAAGGCAGATCCTCCCCAACAAGGGTTTGTCTCCGGGGTTGCTCCTCCCCAGGTGTGTTTGGGGACTGCGATAACGAGGGCGATGTCCTGCACTGGTCTCGGCACAACAGCTTCCTCCTGTACCGCCTGGGCACCTTCTCCGCCTTCCTGGAGCTGCTCAACATGGAGATCGAGTGAGGGCACCCGCGCTGCCCTCGCCCTCCTCACCCTCCCTGTCCTCTGCTTCACCCTGTGCTTTCTTCTCGCCCTCATCACCCTCCTCTTCTGGGACTCGATGATCTCGGAGGCCTTTTCCAACCTGAATGATCCTGTGGTTCTATGATCTCCTTTGTCCCCTTCTTCCCTTCTCCTCGCCTTCTTTCTCCTCGTCCTCCTCTTCATCTTCGTTCTCCCCATCCTCCTCACCCTCCTCCTCTTCATCTGCTTTCTCTTCATGCTCCCCGCCGCCTTCTTCCATCTTCCTCACCCTCTTCTTCTTCATCTTCTTTCTCCTCATCCTCCTCACCTTCATCTCTGAATCTCCATCTTCTTTCTCCTCACCCTCCTCCTCCTCCTCACTTTCTTCCTCCCCGCCCTCCTCCCCCTCTCCTTCCTCCTGCTCCTCACGGATGCCCAGGGGGGTCCCACAGCCCTGTCGGGTCCCCCATCCCGGTGTTCCTGGGCTCAGCTGTTGGCTGTGGGTCGGGATGAGGCGGGGCTGGCGCCGATCCCGTGCCATTCCCTGCAGGAACAGCCAGGCCTGCAGCAGCGCCCTGCGGAAGCCGGCCATCTCCCTGGCTGACAGCACAGAGCTCAGGTACCCCCTGGCACCTGGAGAGGGTGGGACAATGGGTGGGACAACCCTGGGGACAAGGGACACGCCTCACCCGCCTGCTGTCCCCGCAGGGTCCTGCTCAGTGTCATGTACCTGATGGTGGAGAACATCCGTGTGGAGCAGGAGGCGGATCCGCCCGAGTGGAAAACCTGCCGGGAGACCTTCAGGATGGAGCTGAGTGAGCCACAAACCCACTGTGCCCTCTGGAGGTCCCTTTGCTCTGCTGGGCCGGCGGGGAGAGCCCGGGGATGAGGGATCTGCTCCGGAGCCGTTCCTGCTCCCTCTCTCCACAGGTTTCCCTGTGCACACGGAGGAGCCGTTTGCTCTCCTGCTCTTCACGATGGTGACCAAGTTCTGCAGCGGCCACGCTCCACACTTCCCCATGAAGAAGGTCCTGCTCCTGCTCTGGAAGGTGCTCCTGGTGAGTGCAAACCCTTCCTTTTTTCCAGCAACATTTTGCCTTGGAACGGCGCTGCTGCAGCCTGGGTGTTCCCCACTGTTGGACCCGACCACAACGAGGTTATCTGGGAGGCACGGGGAGCTGACACAGGGCAGGTTCCTCTGGGATCAGGGTGGGCTGAGCACTCAGAGGACATGGAGTGGGGGAGAGGTGGTCCCTCACCCTGGAGAACAAACCAGTGGTGTGGTGTCTTCAACTCCCTGGGATCAGGGTGGGCTGAGCGCTCAGAGGACATGGGGTGGGGGAGAGGTCTGGAGGATGAACCAGTGGCTTGGTGTCTTCAACTCCCCGGTTTGATCCCCCAACCTGCTGCTCCCTGGAAGCCCGTGCTCCCGGTGGGATGTGTGTCCCTGCTGAGCCATGGGATGTGTGTCCCTGCTGGGCCATGGGACGTGTGTCCCTGCTGGGCCATGGGATGTGTGTCCCTGCTGAGCCATGGGACGTGTGTCCCTGCTGAGCCATGGGATATGTGTCCCTGCTGGGCCATGGGATGTGTGTCCCTGCTGAGCCATGGGACGTGTGTCCCTGCTGAGCCATGGGATGTGTGTCCCTGCTGAGTGACCTCTCCTCTGTCCCCAGTTCACGCTGGGCGGGTTCGAGGCCCTGCAGGCCATGAAGGTGCGGCGGCGGGAGGAGCTGGGGCTGCCCCCCCTGCCCGAGGACAGCATCCAGGTGGTCCGGAGCATGAGGGCGGCCTCTCCTCCCACCTACTCCATCGAGCTCGTGGAGCAGCAGCAGCAGCAGAAGCGGGGCCACCGCAGCCGCAGGGTAGGAGCCACCACGTCCTGCTGGGGCAGCACCGGCAGCGCTTTGGGCTGGGAGGGACCTTGGATCCATCCGGTTCCAACCTATGCCTTCCACTGTCCCAGGTTGCTCCATCCTGGCCTTGGACACTTCCAGGGATCCAGGGGCAGCCACAGCTTCTCTGGGAAATTCATTCCAGGGCCTCTCCACCCTCCCAGCCAGGAATTCCTTCCCAATATCCCATCTATCCCTGCCCTCTGGCAGTGGGAAGCCATTCCCTGTGTCCTGTCCCTCCCTGCCTTGTCCCCAGTCCCTCTCCAGCTCTCCTGGAGCCCCTTTAGGCCCTGCCAGGGGCTCTCAGCTCTCCCTGGAGCCTTCTCTTCTCCAGGGGAACCCCCCCAGCTCTCCCAGCCTGGCTCCAGAGCAGAGGGGCTCCAGCCCTGGCAGCAGCTCCGTGCCCTCCTCTGGACTCTCTCCAGCAGCTCCACGTCCCTGTGCTGTTGTTCCCAGGGCTGGAGCAGCTCTGCAGGAGGGGGGGGTTGTCTCCCCTGAGGGGGCAAAGAGGCAGGATCCCCCCTGCCCTGCTGCCCACCATCCCTGTGGGATCAGCCCAGGGCACAGTTGGGTTTGGGGCTCTCTCAGGACACATGGCCAGGGCATGTCCAGTTTTCCACTCCCCCAGTTTCTGTTGTGGCAGCTGAGCCCCTGGTGGGTTTGTCCAGAGGAAGCCAGAGGCCATCCCAACCCTCTGGCAAAGGGCTGATAACCCCCAGGAGCAAACTGCTCCCAGCAGGATCTGTTTTTAGCTCCTCTCCTGGAGTTGCTGTGCTATGGTCTGAGGATGAAATGCCTTTTGTGAGGGCAGAGATGTGGGATGGAAGCTCCAGAAGTTAAGGTGGATAATGGGGTCCCACCTCCTAGAGCTGCAAGGTTAGAGGTAGAGAAGGAGTTATTCCTTATCCAGGCCAGGCTAGGAGGGAAATCCTCACTCGAGGAACACCTGGGAGCTTGATCCTCCCAGGATGGGGAGATCTGGCGGCGACAGCTGGCAGGGAAATAAAATCCATGGAGTGACTTGGGTTCCTCCTCCCCCTCGTGCTGCAGCCCCTGGTGAAGCAGGACAGCTTGGACATCTACAACGAGAGAGACCCCTTCAAGAACGACGAGGCAGGAGTGGAGGAGGAGGAGAACGACGACGTGGACAGCGGGATCGAGGGGGAGCTGGACCTGATGGAGCGGGACACGATCGTCCCTCCCCTGCCCCCCCAGCGCCTGCCCATCGAGAGGGTGTCCTTCCCCAAGGGGCTGCCCTGGGCCCCCAAAGTCAGGTAAAACCCCCCGGTGTCACTGCCACCCTCCCCAGCCCCCCTGCCCTGGGGTTCATCCCCACGTCAGCCCGTGGGAAGTTTCCTGGCGAGTTGAACTGAGGGGGTTCCACTCCTCGTTTCGTCCCGTTTGGTTCTTTCTGGGCCGGGCTTAGCTGAGCTCTTCCCCAGGGTTTTGAAACCAAGCTTGGCCAAGAAGTGGCAGTTCCACTGTGGATGTCCCGGGTTGTGCTGGGAAGGAAGGAGGCTGTGCTGGAGCGGGGTCAGCATTCCCAGCTGGCACTGGTGGATCTTGGAAGGGCAAGGTCCTCAACTGATCCTCTTGGGAACTGGTCAATGATTGACAGCTTCTTTGTGGAGCTGGACTCTTGTGTGGCCAGGTGGCACCTTCCTGAGCGGTGGAGAAAAACATCCAAGGATAAAGGAGTCGGTGCCTTCCCTCCCTCAGACCAGTTGCCTGCACGTGGTGCTGAGGGAATGTCAGGAAAAGGGGATGCAAACCTCTGCCCTCTCCCTGGGATCCATCCGAGGGTTGTTGCTGTTTGCCCAAAGCCTGGATTTAACCCAGTGCCTTTAAAACAAGGAGCAAAGAGATATTTCTGCTGGGGGAGCAGTGACAGGGTTAAGTTGGTCCACCCAGAGGGACACGGCAGGAATTGTTTCCCACGTGGATCTCCTCGGCTTAACGCTCTCAGCTCCTCCTCGGCAACCTCCTGTTGTTTTCCTTGGCCGTTGCCTGGAAATCCAGCTGGATTTCTCTGCCCATGAGACTCGTGGCTCGTGTCCCACTGATCCTGTCCAGTTCCCATGAAAATGCCGAAGGTGGACGAGATGCCAGCCTGCCCTGGGAGCAGCACGAGCTCTGACAGACCACAGAGACAACATTTGTTCGCTCAGAGCGAGCAGATGCTCCTTGGAGATGCCTGTGGGAGGAGCACGGGAGGTGCAGGGAAAGGTGCTGCTTGTAGAGAATTCCTCTCTGTTTACTTTCCCATGGAGAAGTGGAGCTGCACAGCAAATACAAATGGGTTTGGTCCGTGCTGCTCCCAACCAAGGGTGGCTTTTCCCATTGCTAACGAGGCCTCCAGAAACCAATCCAAGGCTGTGATCCGTTTTCCAACCTCCTCCTTGTTCTTTGTTTCTCCTCTGCTCCATCAGACAGAAGGACATCGAGCATTTCCTGGAAGCAAGCAGGAACAAATTCATCGGATTCACGCTGGGACAGTGAGTGTTGTGTCCACAAAACCTGCCCTGCAGATCCCATCAGTGCACGGGAGGTGTCCACAGAGCTCAGGTTTTCCCAGCTCGAGGCTGCAGCAGTGAAAGCAGCGTTGGAAAAACCTGTCCTTGGAGACACTGCTCCCCAAGGGCCTCTTCCTGTTAAAAATGAGAGCTGGAGTGAGAGACCCCCGGCCCGAGGCCGGGACTGGTTTGATGTGGAGGGAGCTGGAACAGTTTGGTGTCCTCAGGAAATGACCCAGTTTGTGAACAAGCCAAGCTGTGGGTGCAGAGCCATCCTGGGCCGGGCCCAGAGGGGGACAGTCGGGTTTAGGGGCAGTGCTGGGCTCAGGCTCCACCCCAGCCCTCATTTCCTCTGATTTCACCCCAATTCCTCACCCTGACGTTGCTCCTTTCTTGAAGGAGCTTCGCTGGGGAGGAGGTGGGAGGGTGGGCAGCTCGTGCCAACCCCTCTCCCAGTTCCTGACCCCTCTGGGATGTGTCCAATAGACTCCAGGCTCCCTCTTTCACCTCATATAACCCTGTGCTCCCCTTCTTTCCCCCTCTCAGGGACACCGAGACCCTGATCGGGCTCCCACGGCCCATCCATGAAAGTGTGAAGACCCTGAAGCAGGTGAGGTGGTGGATCCATGCACAGCACTTGGGATGTCCCCATGTGGTGTGGGATCCTCCTGGGTAACCTCTGGCTGAAACACAGTGACTGCAGGGAATAAGAAGATCCTCCTTGTTAGTTATAGCAGGAAAAGCTTTTGGAGCTTCCTACGGGGCAAAAAAATGAAAAACTGAGTCCTCCCTGCAATTCCAAGCAGACTATGCAGCATTTTTACCTTCCCTTTGTCCATGGTGTAGCATTCCTGCTCCCTGGGGAGCGTTTGCCTGGAGTTTTGAAGGCGACAGGCTGCCAGGGTTGGGTTTGGACACACACAGAGCCCAAAGCAGTGCAGTTCCCAGCGGGAAGCACGGCCAAGCTCGGCTCCAGCTGTGCTCCAGGTGGAGAGGGAGGCACCTCCGGGGGCCCAGGGACCCTGTCTCAGGTCTGGGTGGTCTTTTGGAGGTGATTGTCCCTCTCCGTTCACCCACAGGGAGATCCCAGGAGGAGTGGGTGGAAGGGATCGAAGGCAGGAGCTGTGAGGGGCTCTGGGACAGGGGGACGTCCCACACAGCGAGTTCTCCACGTGTGGGATATTGGGGATATAACTGGGATATTGGGGATACAACTGGGATATTGGGGATACAACTGGGATATTGGGGA